AGAGTGTTGACTGTGGAGCCAAGCAGACTAATGCTGTGAACAGTCTCAATCTCTTCACCATCTATCATGATGCTGCCAATTGGCCCAGTGATGAGAATCTTTGTCTTCTTGACATTGAGCCTCAATCCATATTGGAGGCTGCAGTCCTTGACCCTCTGCAGCAAGCACTTTAGGTCCTCCTCAATTTCAGCGAGCAGAGTTGTGTTATCTGCATAAGGCAGATTGTTGATAGATCTTCCACCAATCTTGACCCCACATTTCTCCTCATAGAGCCCAGACTCCTGGATAATCTTTGTTAGGGATGGGGGGGGGGGTACTTTTTACATAGCTGTATTTATAGCATTGCAAAAGGCAACAGTATGAGAATTATAAAGAGAGTTTTTTAAAAACCGGCTTATTTTGTGATGTCCCTTAAGGTCCTCCACTGCCCCTTGTGAACTTTACTGGCTCTGCCTTGAGTTTCCATATGACGTTCAAGAAGATAAGAGTCTTGATGTTGCAGTGGGTGCAGTGCCCAGCTGCTACCCAGAGGGTGGTCGGTTTGAACCCACCGGCCACTATGAGAGATGTCAATGTGATGGGTTGTGTTCTGTAAAGGTTCACAGTCTCAAAACCCTGGTGGGGGAGTTCTGCTCTGTCCTATATGCCTCAGGCTCCCTGCCTTCAATTTGGTTCTCCTCACAGCAACCCTCTACCAGGTTTTGAAGGTTTCTCCTTTGAGGCGGTTGATGGATTCAATCCACTGGTGGCACTCAGCCTTCCGGTTAACAGCGCTGCACCCTGCAGACTGTGCTACCAGTGCAAGGGCCTCCAGGGTCACTCTCAGTGTAGTTGACTTGATGGCAGTGGCTTTGGATTTAAGAAGGTCTCTTGGGAAGTTGGTTTCTTTCGATGCCAAAGTTGATGCCAAACAATTCTGAGAAGTCATCTTAGGCTCAAATTTAGGTGACTCATATGGAGGAAATGATTCCAACTCTATACACGAAAGATTGGAGGTTCAAACCCACTCAAAGGTCCAGTGGAAGAAAGGCCTGGCACTCCACCTCCATAAACTCAGCCAGTTGGTAGGGCAATACCATAAGAAAAGGAATTAAAAGGCATCCAGATCAACAAAGAGATGGTTAAACTATCGTTATTTGCAGGTGATGTGATAATGTACTCAGAAAATCCCAAGGGCCCAACAAAGAAACTGTTAGAGCTGTTGTTGTTGTTGTTATGTGCCATCGAGTCGCCTACGACTCATAGCGACCCTATGTACAACAGCCCTAAACTCTGCTCTGTCCTGTGCCAATCACACTGTCTCTGACACTCCCATCCCAGAGCTAGTAACCAATTTAATAGAGTGGCAGGATATAAGATTAATAATAAAAAAAATCAGTGGGATTCCTCTACAGTAACAAAGAGAACTCAGAGAAGGGAAGCAAGAAAGCAATACCATTTACAGTAGCCAACCCCAAATTGAGATACTTGGGAGTAAACCTAACTAGAGACACAAAAGAAAAGACACAAAAGAGACACAAAGAAAACTACAGAACATTTCTGCGAGACACAATAAAAGACCTAAAGAAATGGGAAAATGTTACAAAGAAAAAGAAATGGGAAAATGTGCCGTGTTCATGGATAGGAAGACTCAATATATATAGTGAAAATGACAATCCTACCAAAAGCAATCTACGTGTTCAATGCAATCCCAATACAGATACCAAAATCATTTTTCAAGGAGATCAAAAGGGAAAATTGGAGTTTATTTGGAGAGGAAAGAGAACCCAAATAAGCAAAGCACTTCTGAAAAACAAAAATGAAGTGGGAGGCATAGCACTCCCTGACCTCAAAGCCAACTACACAGCGGTAGTGACCACAAACTTAGCCATTGAAAATCCTCCGGAGGTTCTGCTCTGACACACTGGGTCAGCTGAGTCAGAATTGACCCAGTTGAAGCTGGTTCAAGTTGCACACATAAAGAACAAAAGGCAAGTCTTAGCAAGTGTTTTCTCATTTCTGTGGACATTTCAGTTTCTTTCTCCAGATCCTATTGATTCTCTGGGAAAGGAGAAGACAGGAGCAGTGTGTGTAGATGGAATCCTGTCTCCTGCTGCCTTTGTTTCTCCTGCCTGTCAATACGCTCCGTACTGGATGGACTTGGCTAGTTCACTGTTCTTCAGTTGCTGTTTTGTGACAGGGCTGCGGTAAGGAGGCATTTTTGCTGGTGTTTGGAGAGCTGTGGGCTTAGCAGATGAGGATTTGCCTACTTGTGCTAATCCAACCACATCCTTTCCGGGGATGTCTTGGGGATGCATTTAAAGCTCTCACGCCCCGGTGATTAGCATCGCCTCATTCCTGAGACTCCATCGCCCGGCCCCTTAGGCGTGGTGGGTCCACGGCACAGGGGCCCTGAGCAGGCATGCTGCATTCCCATTCCGGGAGCAGCTGGGCCCAGGGTGTGAAGATGCAGGTCCTCCAGGCACTTAGCTAATGACACGTTCTCAGTCATTTCAGAACCTTCCATGCAGTGTTTGCTGAAAGAGAGAAGAACCTTCGCCAGACTTAGCAAAGCAGTTCTAGTTCAAAGGGTCCTGGAGGATGTCTGGGGCCCCTTCACTGGGCGAAGGGGCTGCCCCCCGGCTCCCTTCTGGTCCCCAGGCTCACCCCGACTGGAACAGTGTTATTAAGCTCCATTGGGATCCCGTGTGTTGGAATGAGAATCATGTTGCCCATTTGGGGGGGAAAGGAAACCAGAGAAGCGGACACCATGGGACAAGGTCACCCCTGACTCCATGGTAGGTGAGCCTGGGGCTCCTCTGCCTCTCCCCTGTGGTGGTCACTCTGCAGATGCTCTTTCCAGGAGGCCAGAAGGGAAGCCAGCAGCCACGGCCTCACATAGCGTCCCTTCTTTGTGCAGATTTATAGGTGCTTCACTTCTAAATTAAGACAACAAAGAAAATGTTTTCATGATCAACAGCTCTGGAGACTTTGCTTTCTTCCTTCTTGAAAGACCCATGACCTTTCAGACCTTTCCTTCTGTGCTTGGAGTTGATAAACATTTTCTAATTACAATTCCTTCGCTCTCAGAAAAATGACTGTGATGTATTAAGAAGCCCTCATTTTCATGAAACATTTCCAGGGCTTTAGACTTGCCTATGCAGAAGCTCAACGACTCCAGCCTTCAGTATGAATTACTCCCCAACACCAAGGAAAAAAAAATCCTCCCCAGGGAACCAGTAAACAATATCAGGATAAATGGAGAAATGATGGAATTTGTCAAGGATTTCATCTCACTTGGAGGCACTGTCAATGCCCATGTTAGGAAGAGTAAGAAATCAAAGGAAATAGGGCACCGGGCAAATCTGGCATCAGACACCTCTTTAAAAGTGCTAAGGAATGAAGGTGTCACTTCAGAGACTAAGGTGCGCCTAACCGAGGCCATGGTATTTTTGTGTGCTTCCTATGCATGTGGAAACTGGAAAATGAATAAGGAAGACCACAGGACCCGTTGATGCCTTGGAGTTGTGCTGGTGAAGGACATACCACAGTATATACCAGGGGCCGTGGAAAGAACCGGTCTGTGCTGGATGAACTGCAGCCAGGATGCTCCTCGGACGCCAGGATGATAAGACTTTATCTCACATACCTTGCAGCGTGCGCTCAGGAAGAGTTAATCCCTGGAGGACGGTACATTTGAAGATGAGGAGGACTCGTAATGAATGGTTTGGTGCACGGGCTGCAGCAGTGGGCTTAGACAGAGCAGAGAGTGCTCCTGTACACACATGTACACGTGTACATACACACCTATGCACAGTCACACACGTGGTGTGGGTTCACACATGTTAGACTCCTCTCAGGTCAGTGCTGTGTCTGGGAGGAATCATGCTTTCCCGGGACAGTTTCCGAGGCCAGGTCACTGCCCGTTGGAGGGCTGACATCCTGACGTCGAGGGTGGGTCAGGGTCCTGGCTTCCCTGCGGGCATTGGGGTGCTGCTGTTGGTGTGAGAGAGCTGGACAGGACGTGGGGGAAGTGCGTCCACCTGCCCATTGTATTGCGTCCCTCCTGCAAGTGAGCTGGCCTGAGTGCAGCACAGGAACACAGGCCAACCTCGGGGATATTGCGGGTTCGGTTCCCGACCACGACGATAAAGCCAGTTCCATGAGTTGTTTGGCTTCAAACGCGTATCAGAGTTATGCCTTCACCTCCTGTGGTCTGTCAAGTGAGTGGCAGCTGATGCGCAAGTGTGAAACACTTTGAGAATAACTGAAATGTGACACAAAAGTACGGTCCCCTCTTTCCTTTTGGGCAGCTGTGAGTCAGCACCGACGTCTCCTTTTTTACTCTGTATCTTAGGTGCGCCTGATACAGGCCATGGTCTTTGCAATCACTTGTTATGCATCAGAGAGCTGGGCAATGACTAGGAAGGATAGAAGGAGAATTGATACCTTTGAGCTCTGGTGCTGGAGAAGACTATTGAATGTACCATGGACTGCCAAGAAAACACAGGTTCATCCTAGAGAGGGTTAAACCAGGCTACTCCTTGGAGGCAAGGATTCTGGGGCTTCATCTGACATACTTTGGACATGTTGCAAGGAGAGACAGGTCCTTGGAGAGGGACATCATGCTAGGTAGAGTAGAGGGACAGCGCAGGAGGGGAAGACCCTCTATGAGGTGGATTGATTCAGTGACTGGGGTAATCAGGATGGGTGTGTCAGAGACAATGCGATTGGCATGGGATAGAGCAGGGTTTAAGGCTGTTGTACACAGGGTGGCTATGAGTCGCAAACGACTCGATGGCACATAACAACAACAACAACAACAATCTTAGTCACTGAGCTGTATTCAGTGGACATTTTCTGAGTGAATGAATGAATAAGTGGACAGACAGACAGGAAGGCTTGGTCTGCGGGAAGTTTGGAAGCGCACGTGCTGGGCCCTGAAAGCTTGCCCTGTTGCTTGTCCATGGGGCCAGCCTGCTTATTTTCAGCATGCTCTCTCCTTGTCTCCCCTTCTACAGACAAGAGTGAGAATGGTGAAGTGTATCAGAGGAGGAAGGCGGCCGGCCTCCCCGAGGGTCCTGTTCCCCTCGTACCCTCCCGAGGGAGCCCCGCACAGCCCGGGGCCGGCAGCTGGAGGAGGATCGCTCTACTCATCCTGGCCATCACCATCCACAACGTCCCAGGTGAGTGAAGTCTCCCCACCTGCCTGCAGCTGCGTCACTTCTGCGTACAGAGGTCTTGCTGGAAAGGGGAGAGGGGTGGCTACAACTCAGAACTGTCCAGGGGAGTGTAGCTCTTTCTTGGCCTTAGTTTTTGGATGGCTGGAGCTCAGGTATTGTAATCTGTAGAGACTTGATCTGCTCACCTTGAAGGCTGCGTCCTTCTTGCTGTTGGGACCCGCCAGAGTCTCCAAGGGGGAAAGCTGGACAGTCTCCCCGTGAAGCAGCCTCAGAAACCCGGGAGGGTCGCTTCTGACTCAGAGTTCAGCACTGAGGTTCTGGACTGATCACCGTATGTTAGCATGTCTCATTCCAGGTAGACAGTTTCTTTTCCCATTTCTGTATGTTGCATCTTTTCTTTACATATTTGATTAGTGAGGGATTTTTTAAATTCTTTTTCTTTTAGCAGAAATTCACAGCTGGTGTATGCTTTCTATGGAGGATGCCTTTTATGAGTACAAAATGCCTCTGGGCAGTGCTTTCTGGAAATACTCAGTCTTTTCTCAACACTTTCTGTTCACAGTGCTCCTTGATGCAGACATCTTTCTCATCTTTAAGGTCTTAGTAATTGTTCCCTTTTAGCATTTGTGTGTGTGTTTGGGGGAATTATATTGGGGGAAAAAAAAGAGAGACTTTCATGAGTGTTTTTTTTTAAATGAATGTTTTGTTTAAATAATAATAGAGTATCTAGAAAGCCCAGATAAGTATGTAGAAGGAAAATACCGTTAAAAAATTGAGGAAACTAAAAAAAATACATATAATTCATATAAATTTATAAATACATCTGTTTTAAATACAGAAAATTTATTCTGTTTCATAAATGTTATAAGCTATAATACAATTTATGCCTGGGTAAATAAATCTATATTATGTACAGATATCGTTCACCCTCATTGCCCTTTGAGACTGAACCCATTTGGCTCAGAGCTGACCCCCTGTGGGTGTTCAGAAGCTGTGAATGGAACAAGAGGAGACAGCTCCTGTTTCTCCTCAGAGGAGCTGGTGGACTTGAGCCTTTGGATGGCAGCGCTCTGTACCGTCTATTGTATCCATGTAGAAGGAGTACAGATTTCACAACTCTCCGTTGTTATCCCAAGTCAAAACTCAGCACCCTTGAGCAGTTGACACCCTGTCTCTCCTTTCCCCAGCCCCTGGTGACCACATGTCTACTCTCTGTCTCATCTCGATAGTAACTACAAATGGAGTCAGAGGTATCTGTCTTTCTGACGTCCTTCACTCAGTGTCACATTTTGGGGGTTCACTAGTCACGTGGCACACATCACAACTTCGTTTCTCTTTATGGCTGAGGAATATCCCATTGTGTAGAGATGTCCACTCATCTGTTGATGGACCCTCGCCGTGTTGCCAGGAATAGCCAGAAAGGTAGCTTTGGCGGTTATCACTAATCCTGCACAGCCGTTAGTGCATACACCACATGTTTTAAAAGTTTCCATTGTTATTTGAGTGAAAGTCTACAAAGCAAAATGATTTTCAACTCAGCAATTCAGATATTTTGGTTTAGGACCTTAACTAAATCCCGCACTGTAACCACCGTTCCAAGCAGCTGCCCGGGCCTTTGCCTGTATGCCCCCACGCAGGTGGACCGGACACCTCAGATTATGGGGTGGTAGGGGGTGCTGGGGGCAGCGGCCTGTCTTCTGTGAAAGCAGCCCAGATTGTACCCTGGAGAGCTTACTCTTAGTCAAGTCAAAGTGCTTTTCCTGCAATGCCGTATAAAGTCAAGGACTCTATCCCTGCCATCGATTGCGGGGCCCCAGGAAAACAAGCTTCCTTTCTGTGCTCGAGTGCAATTAAACATCCAGTGGCATCCAGGTTCCTCACTCGCACTCTCAGCAGTGAAATCCAGCTCTGCTTTGTAGATGCAGAAGTTAGGGTTAGAGCTTAAAGGGGACCGAGAGCATATTTCATCCAAATCCTCCTTGCTGGAACATTCCGGGCTTACCTCTGACGGTCCTGACGCTGCCTGCCAGCTTTGACATTGGGTGATTCATAAGTGACATGAACAGCATAGAATCAAACCCGTTTTTCCATTGAAATTAATCACTGCCTCCTTTGTGACACCTTCTTGTGTCAGTGTCTGCTTCCGCTCGGAAAATGATTGCAATTATTTAAGCGCGTTTGTTTTCTCTGCCGCATGAAGCTTCTTGCTAGAAGGTCCAACCGGCGTTCTCTTTGGGATCCCAAGTCACAACCCACCTTGGAGGTCACTCTACATTCGAGCCCCTAGGATGCCTGTTTACTGTCGGAAGGGACAGGTCATTGAGAGCCCAGCGCCCCTTGTTCTGCTGCTGCCTTGTCCACTCGGCGGTCTCGGGGAGAGCATTTGACTGGTGAGAGTCTTGACGAGGCAGATGACAGACACTTGCCACTCTTTATATTTTAAATTCTGTATGAAGAGCCCTGGAGGAAGAGGCTCAATGAATCACATACACCTTGCTTTCTCTTCACTAGACTCACGTTCCTTCTGCTGACTGTTGCTGTGACAGCAAGAAGTGGGGGTGTCACCTCTGTGTCCCCAGGACAGCAAATCCAATGGTTTCTATTATCTGAATAGTCTTCTCCGACAGCTTCTCATATGACTACACATCATGACTTTGCAAGGAATGCTTGAAGCTGGAATTAGGAGTTGATTCTGCTTTAGGGACTAAACCACAAATTTCTATGTCCAAATATTATCTAACCAAAAAAAAGCAACACCCTTTACCATCTAGTGGCTTCCAAATCACAGTGACTTTTCATCGGGGTTCAAGGCCTGTAAATCTTCAAGGGAGAAGAAGGCTCTTCTTCCTCCCCAGAGGCTGCTCGTGGGTTTGAACTGTGAACCTTTCTGTTCACAACTCAGAGTAAATGGTTTAGTTACTCTTGAGTGATGAGATTAAGACTGATTTTTTTTTTAGTTGTATGTTATTCTGATGTTTTCAAGTATAGTATGTTATTGCGGATATTTTTCCTTGTCTATAATTTTTATTCTTTTAAGAAGAGGAATTAGGGCACCTAACTGTTTCAATGCCTCTAGACCCCAACACTTAAAACATGTGGATCTAACAATCATATGCCAGTGGTGGTCTTATTTGGGTCTTTTTTTTTTTTATTACTAGAAGAGTTAGAAGTAGAACCTGGGATAGTATATGTTTGTTGTTGTTGCTGATTGCTGTCGAGTTGAGCACCACTCATAGTGAACAAAAGACCAAATGCCTTTCTGTGACTGTCGTAATTTCTCCAGGTTCATAGAATAAGTTTCTGGTGGGTGCTATACAAAATTACCACACCCTTTAGTGGCTTGGAACAACCCAAGTTAATTCTGTCACAGTTCTAGAGACCATTAGTGTGAATGTTAAGGATTTGACAGGTCTGTGGCCACTTGAGTGGTTCCAGAAAAAGGTTCTTCCTGCCTCTTCCAGCTCCTGGACGTTGCTACTGCCCTTGCCTTGTGACCTCATAGACGATAGTCATTGTCCCATGTCGTCTTTGTCCCGTGGTCACATCTCCTTCTGGCTAAGTCCAGTCTCCAAGGACTCCATGTCCTAACTCGTCTCATGGGCTTTGGGATGGTCATCTGGAGGAGCAAGTCCCTGGAGAAGGACATCCCACTCGGTAGAGCAGAAGATCAACAAATCCAGAAAAAGACGCTCAATAGGGTGGATTGACAGACTTGTCGCATCAACAGGCTGGAACAGCAGAGGTCACAAGGACAGGGCAGGACTGGACAGTGTTGCTTCTGTTGTATGTAGGGTTGTAGGGTCAGGTGCCAGATACGGCGAAGTTCAGAGGGTCGCCATGAGTCAGGGGTCAGCTGGACAGCACCTAACAGCAGCAGAGATGGGGTCCCAAGAAGTCAGAACCAAGTCAACCACACCTTCTAACAAGTGATTACATTTAAGCTCCACTAAAGTGGTCTCTTCTGCATCAAACAACAGTAAGAATGATGACGACCAAGAGAGAGCTACGTTGGCCTAGTGGAAGGAAGCTGTGCTACCAAGCAGAAGGTGGGTGATTTTCATCTGCCGCCCTCGGCCAGGTTCAAACTGTTTTCCTGTCAAACATTCTTCTACGTGGTATAGCATTGGTCTGTGTGTTGCTGTAGAAGTAACTCGTGGTTGCTGTGATGCTGAAGCCTGTGACAGTGATGTGCCAATCGTGGTAATGGGCACCCATGGTGGACAGTGTTGGCTGGAGCTTCCCGACTGAAACAAGCCTGGAAGCGGGAGCGGCATCCACTTCCGAAATGGCTTGCCTCCGGAAACTCTACGTACGAACAGTGCTCAGGCCGTTCGTTCATAGGGTCGCTATGAGTCATCTACGACTCGATGGCATCAAACAACAATAACAACAAAGTGGTCTCTCACATACTCGGAGCGTGTCGCTAGGAGAGGTTATTCCTTAGAGAGGGCACGATGCCTGGGAAGGTGGAAGGATGGCGGAAGAGAGGAAGATTCTCCACCAGGTGGGCTGCTGTGGTTGTTGCAGACCGAGGGTAAAGTATTTTTATAATTATTTAATAATGAGACAGACAGCCAGGAGTGAGATAGAATTTGTTGTTGTTATGTGCCATCGAGTCACTTGTGACTCACAGCGACCCTGTGTACAAGAGCCCTAAACGCTGTTCTATCCTGTGCCAACCTCGCTGTCTCAAACGCATTCATTCCCACCACTCCACTCACAGAATCGATCCATCTCATCGAAGGTCTTCCTCAGGGGGCCAGAAATTCTCCGCTGAAGACCCCCATTCCAGCTTCCCTGCAGTTTTACTGTTAACTATCAGGAAGTAAATCACAAAGAGAATTCAGTGCAAATGAAGCCAAGCTCTTTCCATAAACACCTTCCCCTTGACTCAGGAGGGAGGGGACAGCAAAGCAAGAATCTGTAAACCTTTAAGGATTGCCTTAGTGCCTCAGGGTGAACTCTAGTGTGTACCACACCTCCCCCACATCCTGAAATAGCAT